TTTTGTTCCAGATCTGGCAGATCCTCAGGGGCACAAGAGTCAGCTACCAGGGAAGGGGAGTTGTCAGAAGACTGGCTCCCATGCTGTTCCAGCACTGCTTCCAGTTGAGCCATTTCCTGCTGGAGCTTTATCAGGTTATCTTGCATGGTATCCCTCTGCTGCAAAAACAAGAAAGGACACCAAGAAAATTATACATTTTGAAAAACTTGCCATAAAACAAAAATATGTCACACCAATTAATTTTAACATGGGAAGTGAAATCACCTAGTATGGAATTATAAGTTCGGGCTGAACATCTTTTATTTCAACCATATTTATGCAAATTAATGTCCTTGAAATTATTTCAAAATGATGTTAGAAGGGGAAAAAAAAAACACCCTCCAATTCTCACAAATAGACTTGCTTTATTGTGATGTCTTTTTGTAGCTGGTTATCACTGGGGGGTACAGCTCAATGGTAGAACATTTGTCTAGCCATGTGTGAGGCCTTGGGTATAATCCCTAACACCACAAAAAGCAAAAATATAAAATAAAATAAAGGTAGGAAGTGAAAAAATAATTTAGGTACTTAAGCACTATTGATATTTAAAATTAGCACAAATCTGATAACATTTCACACTGCTGTTTCTAAGTTTTGATATTATGAAATTCATAAGACTTTAAAATTAGTCCCCACAAAAATCTTGATTTTTTAAAAAACTGATATAATGTTGAATATTTCTTATGGTATTTTACAAAATACTATCAATAATCCTGCCTACATTATTAGCTTATGAGACTCTTCCTTTTCTGGGATTCTTTTGACTTTTTAGTTTCTAATGAAAAGGTAAATTCTTTAATTTAGCTATTTGTTCAGTTCATTCAACAACTACTGAGCCAAGCCCTGTCCTAATTTTGGGGATGTGGCCCTCATGATTCTAAACTGGTACAGGATACCTGTAGTTCATTTTAGAATGTGCTGTTAGAAAAAAGCATCTAACAAAAAGAGTCCTAAGAAAACCTGAAGGACAATTAACTGTTTTCAATTCAAGATAATGGATTCTCTTTGCTTATGAAGCTCCTGTTGTTTATTGCTCCATTTCAAGAAGCAATCTGTGAAGTCTAAGGTATTTGATAAGCAAAGAATTTAGGTACATAAGGAGTTTTCCAAAATATACACTTCTTCATCACTTTTCAAAAGAACATTGATGGTTGTTGGCAACCTGGGAGAGTGTAAACACAGACTGTTCCACCCTCTGTTTCTTTCCTCTTCTTCTGATCCTTGAAAATGAGTTTGCCCTCTACTAAAAACAAGCCATCTTCTTTTTCCTGCTACACTGAGTTCATAGTTTTCAGGAGGTTTTTATGATAGAAAATGCATTTCCAGTTTCACAAAGGTTTCTACTGCTGTCTCGAGACTGCTTTGTTGCCAACATCTGCAGCAACGCCATTGCCACCACGTGGTACTCCTGAGTACTTACATCACTGATCAAACCGGAGCCAAGGCCCTGCCTCAGTAAACCCAGAAAAAAACTGTACACAGATGCCTGACCAATGCTTCAGAAACTAATTAGTGAGTAGGGCTACAATCACCACATCTATCCTTTATGTGGCCATTAAATCAGGAAAAAAAAAAAAAACAGGAATGGGAAAATTAGAGTTAAATAACTTTCCTTTAGATTTTCTCAAACAAATTACTTATAACTTGGACAAATTCCCTTATAGGCAATTGGCTCAATACTTAGGGAGAACAAAACCAAACAGGTTACTAAGTCTTCTTGCTTCTAATTTTGAAATATCATCTTCTTCATTTTTTAAAAATATTTTTTAGTTGTTATATATTTATTTATATGTGGTGCTGAGAATCGAACCCAGTGCCTCACACATGCCAGGCAAGCACACTACCGCTGAGCCCCAGCCCCAGCCCTGAAATATCTTCTTAAAGAGCTTCTTTTATCCCTATTCTATCCTACTTTTAATACAGCTACATTACTGCAGAAGTTCCCTGAAAGCTATGTACATCATGCCTCTTTCTTCTATGAGGACCTTTTAGTAGTATATATACCACTGCTCAGATGATTAGTTAATATTTTCTGAACACTATATAATTGTTAGTCATTACTGCCCTCAGGGTAAAGTCCAAATTCCTAAGCACTGCATTCAAAAGGCCCTTCACACCCTGATTTTCTCTTCTTTCTCTCCAACATCTCCCATATGCCCATTTCTCAATGACACAGGACAATTTTGTGTTTCCTGGGCATTTCATGCCTCTTGAACCTTTGCCTCAATTGCTGCCTCCTCTTTTTTTCCACTTGGAAAAATTCTTCTTATCCTTCAAGGACCAGCTCAAATGTCTCTCTTAGAAGTCCCCACCAATAATCTATCCATCATGAACAGAGGATTCCCTCATTATGTGGGACTATACTACTAATATTAGTATTTACAAGTGGGACATATGACCTACTTGATGGAAAGAACTGCCCCTTGAACAGATACTATTGATACCAAATTAGACATTCTTT